GCGTTCCTCTTCACAGCCGCCGGTGACAGCCAGCAGCATGAGATGCCATAGCGACCCAGACGGGCCCCACGGCATCAGGGGATGTCCTGGCCAGGCACCCCTGTGCCCCATAGCGGCCGCCTGGGTCGCTATGGCGATTGTTACGCCACTGGTATTCAGCACACATGGACGTGGGATTTATGTGCTCAGGCTAACTGTGCATGTGTGCACATACATTGGTTTACATAAAGCTGTGATCTGATGGGCCAACGGGCCCCACGGCATCAGGGGATGTCCTGGCCAGGCACCCCTGTGCCCCATAGCGGCCGCCTGGGTCGCTATGGCGATTGTTACGCCACTGGTATTCAGCACACATGGACGTGGGATTTATGTGCTCAGGCTAACTGTGCATGTGTGCACATACATTGGTTTACATAAAGCTGTGATCTGATGGGCCGCTAGAGCAAAAGACCCAATTTGCTTAGGCTTGTGGGTGTGATTCTTTGGGCCCCTGTAGACGAGCTTTGTGTTCAAATAGAATTAGTTTTATTTTTTATTTTCACCTGCCAGTAACACACTTCCTGTCCTTAGGTGACAACACTAACTCCTGAACTGTACCTATGAAGGGAGCCATGGTTGTCACCCAGGCTGGCCATGTCTGCCTTTGTTCGTCTGTATTCTAGACATGTGCAATTCGTTTCGTTCCGAATCAAAATTCGTACGAATTTTCCGAAAATTCGGACACATCCGAATTTCCGAATCCCAATGCATCCGTGCATTTAATTAATTAAAAATAAATAATAAAAATTAAATTAAATAAAAAAAGAACCGAAGCGGAGGCGGGGCACATGACGTCACATGACACTGCGCGTGTGCGGCTTTGGGTGACGCCGCACGCCTGTTGGGGGGGCACATATTTTTAGCTTTTTGCCTATGGCTCTGGGGGTATCTGAGCCTTTAAGAAGCCAGGGGGCTCCCACACCATTAGGCTCCACCTATACCTAAAATATAATATATTTAATAATAATGTTTTGTGTGCACTGATCTTTTTATACCTCTATTTACATTCTGGAAACTAATGACAATCTAAATGAAAGACTACAAAACATGTCGACCTCCTCCTACTTTTACTGTACGTGACACTGATAATGGCCGTCCTACCACGTACAGCCATTTATGATGGTGCATTATTCCATGAAATGTCAGTATAAGCCTACAAGGACAGCTAAGGTTCTGGTTTCCTGAGAGGGCACATGTCATGGATCCCAGGGAAGTAAACCATGTGATATTTCTGCCTCATAATTACAGTATATCTAATGTCCTTATTTTTGAAGTTGCAGGGTGTAATGCACAAGCATGGGGTGCAATCAGGACCGGATTTACCCTCCCTGCTGCCCCAAGGCCTGGTTCCGCAATGCGCAAACCCCTCCCCCCCGCCGTGGAGAATGCCAACCAGATAGCGTTGGTTTGAAAAAAAATGTATTGTTTCTTTGTTTCTTCCTTTTTTTTTAAACTTTATCACTTAATTTTTTTATAAATTTTTTTACTTTTTACATTTTTTTTTATCTTGTCATCTTTTACTTTATTTTAAAAAAAATTTTATCTTATTATTTTTTATTTATAATAATTTTCTTTTTAAAAAAAATATTTTTCTTATTATTTTTTACTTTTTATTTATTACTTTATTTTTTAATGTCATTATTATTACTTATTATTTTTTTACTTATTTTATATATTTGTAGTCAAAGCCCCACTGTTACGTACCCGAGAATCGAGATGATGGACCTGCCTACAATGACCTGGGGGTGTGCCGTGGTCACTATGGTCAGTATGCAAAATAAGGGGGCATACTCACAGTACAAGGTAACTGAAAAAAGGGGGTGAGGCGTGTGGGATGACACCCACGAGCCGACAAGTGAGTGTGGGAGATGGCTTAAAATGTGTGGGTGCTCCTCCCACAAATACTTCTAATTAATTAGCCTACCACTTATGTTATTATTTTTTTATCAATTTTTTTTTCACCTAACTTTATTGCTATCACACAGGAGCTAACAATCCCCTGTGTGATAGCATTTTGAGGTGACGGGTTCTCTTTATTGACCCTGTCACCTCCAATACAGGAGTTCTAGCACAGCACTGTGCTGGAACTCCGGTGACAGCTGAGAGAGGAAGACGGTTCTCCCCTCTCACTGTATACACGGAGCGGCAGGGTTACTTTTAACCCTGCCGCTCTGCTCACCGCTCTCCATGCTGAAGAGAGGACAGAGGCGGGAGCTGGAGCCGGAAGAATGTTCCGGACGTCAGGAGACTTCAAACCTGTGCCGCCCCTCTGCTCCCTGCCCCCTCGAGGCCGGGCCACGGTGGCCTTGTTGGAAATCCGGCCCCGTGTGCAATGCCCTTTTCATAAAGGAGGCTGAGCTACTTTACCATGGCTGCGCACCCCTGCGGGGCCTTAAAGCGACCTACAAATGATCATCGTTTACCTGTAATGACATCATTGAGGTTCTTCCCGGTGTGGTGGCCGCTTAGTAAGTCTGCCAAGCCTACGATGACCAGTCCGCCGATGGTGACCAGGATCCCGACCCATTGGCTGCACTCCAACTTCCTCCCCAGGAACGCCACAGACAGAAGACCCGTGAAGATGATGACGGCTCCTCGCAGCATCTGGAAGCTGGATGCGCTGGTCATGTTTAAGGCTGAGGGAATGATGAGAAAGGAACCATGAACAGGATTTGGAAACTAGAAGGTCTGAATCCAAGCATTTAAACGTCATAGAAGCTTGTTAAATCTGCAGCTTTCATAAAATAATGCCTGGTGGCACTGCCAAGAAAGTCCTTCAGCAGGCACTTCCTGTTATAGGGTGACAACTGTCTCCCAAGTGTGCCCCTTCATTGTCACGCTTTAACGATATCTCTTCAATTAACCGACCGACGTCCATAAACTCCAACTTTATTGTAGATTCAATAATAGTCCAAAACACAGCACATACACCACCATAGTAGCTCTTCCACTCCAGCGCCTCTATGAACCTCTATGATGAAGCCCGGGTGGTGAAACGTGTGATAGGCGCTGGAGTCGGAGAGCTACTATGGTGGTGTATGATATTCTGTGTTTTGGACTATTATATTAAATCTACAACAATAAAGTTGAATTGATGGAGATCGGTCTTGTGCGGCCGATTGGAGAGATATCGTTTAAGGAGTTGGAGCACCCGATGTGCATACTGATGCAGTCTGATGGAATTGGAGCGGTGAGTCTCTGCCTTTCTGCATTGTCACCCTGTCACATGAATCCTTGGTAGAGACCGCCAGCAGCAGTGCCAACGCTAACCCAAAGTGTATAACCCTGATTGAGATGCTCCCATTACATGTACGCTATATTGCCAAAAGTATTGGGACGCCTTTACACGCACATGAACTTTAATGGCATCCCAGTCTTAGTCCGTAGGGTTCAGTATTGGGTTGGCTCCGTCCTTTGCCGCTATAACAGCTCCGCCTCTTCTGGGAAGGCGTCCACAAGGTTTAGGAGTGTGTCTATGGGAATGTTGGACCATTTGTGAGGTCAGGTACTGATGTTGGAGGAGAAGGCCGGGCTCGCAGTCTCCGCTCTAATTCATCCCAAAGGTGTTCTATCGAGTTGAGGTCAGGACTCTGTGCAGGCCAGTCACGTTCCTCCGCCCCAAACTCCCTCATCCATGTCTTTATGGGCCTTGCTTTACTATCCAATCACATTAAGGAGACACATTTGTCACTCCGGGTCTTCTTCAAGCTAGCTGTACCGTTACCTTCTGTTTGGCCCTCTGTACTCACCCACATACATGATGCAGGTGCCGGCCATGTCACAGATGGCCGGTAGGAGGAAGATGAGAGAGTTGAAGGGCTGAGAAGCATCCATGTTGGGCTGGGGAGACCGCTTGTCCCGGAACACCAAGATGTAGAAGACGGCCAAGCAAGAGAGCTCCCCCAGGAACATTCCCACCGCCTGAGATAGAGAGAGACAGATTAGAACATAGCATAGAACATGTACTTCATGGAACCTCCATACCGTAGAACATAAATGATTCCATCACCAACGCTGCATGCAAACAGGTTCAGTAAAGGAGTAGTTGATGTGCAGAGTGCAGTACCCCCTTACCCAATCAGAAATCACCATTCACTAATCCGACTTCAGCAAATTGAATTCTGATGAGCTGCAGGGGATCTTGTACTTTGCACATCATTAGAGCAGAGCTATGCTGAGATATGGGAAACAACCATCTACCCTGTTTCCCCGAAAATAAGACCTACCCCGAAAGTAAAACCTAGCACTATTTTTCAAGATTCCTGTAATATAAGACCTACCCCGAAAATAAGACCTAGTTTGGTGGTAACATGTGAGGGGAAACTTGAAGAGCAGGAGAGATGGTATCAGCCTGCAGGGACATACTGTATTAAGGGGATGACAGGGGACTCCCCGACAAGCGCATTGACAGGGAGCACTCCAGTACCATACTTCACCAACTTCTGTCCCCCTGAAGGCACTGCTTAATGTAATGGTACTGTACTGTAATGTGTACCGGTAAATGGTACCGTATTTTACCACGCTGTCCACTGACTGATGTCCCCACTGCTGCACCACTGGTACAGCTGTCCCTGATGGCAAAGGAAGCCGGCGCTGTAGAAAGCAAGGCTGCAACGGCGGAGGGAGCAGAGTCGCATTAGCCGATACTTCCTCTATAGCACCGGTTACTGTGATAGGCGGAGTAATACCAGATGCGCTCCGCCTGTGTAAGTGAAAGAAAGGGATCAGCATTACCGATACTGACCATTATGTTGTACATTAAAAAAAAAAAAGACATCCCCTGAAAATAAGACCTAGTGTGTTTTTTGGGGGGCAAAAAAAATATAAGACAGTGTCTTATTTTCGGGGAAACACGGTAAGGGCCGCTGCACACCTGGGCAATCTGTGACCGCGCAGCAATCGTGCACGATACTAAGTCGCGTGTCCCAGATCACTCAGGTCTGCACCGGGCCTCAAAAGAAGGGTAACAGAAGGGGTGAAATACCTGTCCTGGAGAAAATGCTGCTCTGAGACCACTTCTGTGCTGCTCACAGGTTTGAAGCCCTAAGCATTCGATCACATGACCTCTGCTGCCTCGGTGACTAGGCCTTCATGAATGTGGCTGTTGCTGGAGAGAGCTCCGAGCAGCATTTTCCCCAGGAGAGGTGAACATTTTCTGCCCCTCCTAATGTAGTATCAACCTTTTTACAATATACATTGCATTGCCCAAGCATTTATAGTCATCATGTTTCCAAACAGCTCCAGCTCTCTCAGCTCGACTTCCCTGAACTTCCTGTCTAGTACAAGATCACAAGGGACAGAGCAGTCTCCGGTAGCCGTCCATCTACTAGCATGGAGAAGGGAGAAGCTCAGGGGAGGGCGGTGTCTTGCCTTGCTGTGGCTGTGTGTTGGTGGAGACACACCCAGTTCACTAGCACACACAAGGGTGGCTCCATAGGACCCTGTAAGCGAAAGGAGCCACCCCAAAGCGAGATATTCACTATGGAGCCAAAAGATCCAGCCATAGCTTCCTGTGATCCTTCGGTTCAGTCGAACTGAAGGGCTGATTACGGGCTATTCACTACAGCACGTACAGCAGCCAAAGGCAGCCATGCGGCTCAGCCGAGCCAAAGGCATGTGTTTCGGCTTGACTGAGCCGAAGTGACAGCCGAAGCGTGGAGAAAGGGGGGGCCAAAGGGCCGACCTTTCTCCACACAGATTACAGTGAGGTTACGGCTGGCTCCGCCCAGTTTTAATGACAGATCAGCGTCCCCGAATGACCTGGGGACGTTGATTTGTCATTAAACAATAACAACTGGGCAGAGGCGGCCATGACATCACAGCCGGCTCCGCCCAGTTGTTATTCATTGGCTTGCGACCTATTAGAAGACAGTAATGGTACTGTACTGTAATGTGTACCGGTAAATGGTACCGTATTTTACCACGCTGTCCACTGACTGATGTCCCCACTGCTGCACCACTGGTACAGCTGTCCCTGATGGCAAAGGAAGCCGGCGCTGTAGAAAGCAAGGCTGCAACGGCGGAGGGAGCAGAGTCGCATTAGCCGATACTTCCTCTATAGCACCGGTTACTGTGATAGGCGGAGTAATACCAGATGCGCTCCGCCTGTGTAAGTGAAAGAAAGGGATCAGCATTACCGATACTGACCATTATGTTGTACATTAAAAAAAAAAAAGACATCCCCTGAAAATAAGACCTAGTGTGTTTTTTGGGGGGCAAAAAAAATATAAGACAGTGTCTTATTTTCGGGGAAACACGGTAAGGGCCGCTGCACACCTGGGCAATCTGTGACCGCGCAGCAATCGTGCACGATACTAAGTCGCGTGTCCCAGATCACTCAGGTCTGCACCGGGCCTCAAAAGAAGGGTAACAGAAGGGGTGAAATACCTGTCCTGGAGAAAATGCTGCTCTGAGACCACTTCTGTGCTGCTCACAGGTTTGAAGCCCTAAGCATTCGATCACATGACCTCTGCTGCCTCGGTGACTAGGCCTTCATGAATGTGGCTGTTGCTGGAGAGAGCTCCGAGCAGCATTTTCCCCAGGAGAGGTGAACATTTTCTGCCCCTCCTAATGTAGTATCAACCTTTTTACAATATACATTGCATTGCCCAAGCATTTATAGTCATCATGTTTCCAAACAGCTCCAGCTCTCTCAGCTCGACTTCCCTGAACTTCCTGTCTAGTACAAGATCACAAGGGACAGAGCAGTCTCCGGTAGCCGTCCATCTACTAGCATGGAGAAGGGAGAAGCTCAGGGGAGGGCGGTGTCTTGCCTTGCTGTGGCTGTGTGTTGGTGGAGACACACCCAGTTCACTAGCACACACAAGGGTGGCTCCATAGGACCCTGTAAGCGAAAGGAGCCACCCCAAAGCGAGATATTCACTATGGAGCCAAAAGATCCAGCCATAGCTTCCTGTGATCCTTCGGTTCAGTCGAACTGAAGGGCTGATTACGGGCTATTCACTACAGCACGTACAGCAGCCAAAGGCAGCCATGCGGCTCAGCCGAGCCAAAGGCATGTGTTTCGGCTTGACTGAGCCGAAGTGACAGCCGAAGCGTGGAGAAAGGGGGGGCCAAAGGGCCGACCTTTCTCCACACAGATTACAGTGAGGTTACGGCTGGCTCCGCCCAGTTTTAATGACAGATCAGCGTCCCCGAATGACCTGGGGACGTTGATTTGTCATTAAACAATAACAACTGGGCAGAGGCGGCCATGACATCACAGCCGGCTCCGCCCAGTTGTTATTCATTGGCTTGCGACCTATTAGAAGACTCTTGCAGGTGCCAGCCAATAGGAAACAGTTAGGCGGAGCTAGCTGTCACCGCTAGCTCCGCCCAATTTTTTTATTTTGCTGGCATCTGTCAGGCGCTTCATTATGTGGCGGGAGTTTGTCGCGTGCGGTCGGGTCGGCATACTGCGTTTTTTTTCTTTTCCTATTTTTTAAACATTTTTAAAATAATTTTCCAACTTTTTTTTTAAATTTCACTTCTTTTCTATTCTGCTCGCTACCTCGGAGGTACCGAGCAGAATAGCCGAGCTGAATGCCGCTCGGCAGCATTCGGCTATTCACTTACTGCCGCTCGGCCCCTATGAGAATTGGGGCGAAGTGCAGCGAGCGAGCTGCCGGAGCTTCGGCTCAGCCGATCCAGATGTTGGATCGGCTGAGTTGAACTCGTTCTGTCCTTCGGTTCAGCATGTTCGGCTGCCTTTGGCAGCTAAGTGAATAACCCCATAAAACTTTAAAACATCATGGATCAGCATCCATTGTAAGCGATTTCATCAGGATCTAAAATAGCTTAAAAATTGAGCACAGCTCCCCTTCAATGTGTGATGGTGACTACTGATGAGCCAACCAGTCTGGGTTCAGTTTGCTTGTGTCACGTACCTGAGGTAAGACCGAATGGGTGGAGATGGCGCCCCTTGCGTCCCTTGTCCAGCTCCCCTGGACGTGGTGACAGGGAGAGAGGGGCACAGGGTAGCACTGGTGCCTAGGCTGTAGCCGACCAGATGCAAGCGAGGTACAGAAGCGGGAGGCAGAAGCCAAGTCGGAGGTCACGAGCCAATCGGGAGGCGGGAGCCATGTCAGGAACAAGCAGAGGTCTGGAGCCGGGTACAAGCAGCAAGCAGAAGAAGGGTCGAGGCAAGCCGGGTCGGGAACTGGAGACAACAGGATAACAACAAGCAAAGGATCACAGGAACAGCAGAGGGAGAGTGCAGCAGGTCCGGTTATATATGCTTCCTCAGATGTCACTTCCTGTGTGACTCTTTGCAGAATGCACGCGCATCCTCTGATGCACGTGCGCGTGCACATTCCTATGAAACAGCGCACGTTTACCTGCAACTCTAAGGATGGGCTTTTGAGCATGCATAGAGGTGCGGACGGGGAAGGGCATGCTTGGATGCTCACTGATCCCATCCAGAACCCCCGGGTTAGGCAAAAGCCCAAGTAAGCGGAACCCACGGCGACCCGTGTCCTATAAGGCAGCACAACATCATTGTTTGGGTGTCCCCAGAGCGTCATATGTGGGTGTGCCTGGCTGTGTCCCAGCAACCAAAAAAGCTGTGGTGCCCAGTCACTGCTTTCCAAGCAACTGATGATGCTGTGCGGGTTACATAGAGTGGTTGGTTGCTAGGACACAGGTGGAGGTTCTTCCGAGCGACAAATTGTGAACAGCTTGGGCTTGGGTTGACCCCACAGAACCCAAAACTCGCCCCTACTGGGGACAACAATATCATATATCATATGAGGGGGAAGGAAGGAATACAAGAAGAAGATGAAAGGAAAGGGAGGAAAGTGAAGGGAAAGGAAGGAAAGGAGAAAGGGGAAATGGAGGGAAGGGAAAGGGAAAGAAAGAAAAGGAAGGAACGGGAAATGGAGGGAAGGAAGGAAAGAAAAAGGGGAAAGAAGGGGAAGAGAAGGAATTAAAGGGAAATGGAGGGAAGGAAATGGAGGGAAGGAAGGAACGGGAAATGGAGGGAAGGAAGGAAAGGGAAAGGAAGAAAATGAGGAAAGGGAAATGGAGGGTAGTAAGGAAAGGAAGGGGAAGAGAAGGCATTTTATCTTTTCAGGTCAAATTTAATGTAATACCACGTTATGGCCACAAGATGGCGCCAAAGAGCTTTGATTTGTTATAATTATAATAGACTTTCCATGACTTCATGGCTAAGCTCCTCCCACTGCCACCCAGCAGGCGGAGCACATCCGGGGAAAGCCAGGCCACATTCCCCAAGTGGGGAAGGGAAGGAAGGAAAGGGAAAGGAAGAAAAGGGAAATGGAGGGAAGGAAGGAAAGGGAAAGGAAGAGAAGGAAGGAAAGGTTCCCTATAAACGTGGAATAACTTGTCCGGTGGGCATTGCTGACAAAGATCCGGACATGTCACTCACCTGAAGGAACGGATGCTGGAACTGATGAACGGGGTCATCTTTGCATCCTCCAGCACTGAATGTGTCCGCCCACCTAGGAGGAGGAGGAGGAAATGTATTCTGTGAGATGATATTTTCCTATAAAATCTTCTTTTCTTTATAGATACATCTTTCCATCTGGACACACTGTGTGCACTAAACACTCAAGGAAGGCAGTATAATACTCTTTGCGTTGCAGCCTCTTGCTGACGCTGATCTCACTGCACCCCACAGAAGCATTTGGGGAACGTTCAGAATCGCAAAGCTTGTGAGGAGAACATTTCCCACTCCAGCACTGTGTGGGAAACGTTCTCATGGAATTTGGAATTCCTCCGCTTTCCCAGGATTCCGGGAGAAGACGCAGTGACGTCACCCTTGCTGGAGGCCTTGCAGTAATTCTGTTTATATTTTACTTTCAGCTTATTACGTATCTTATTATGGGATGGGGGGGGGGTCACATTGTGTTTTAGAGCAAGGAAACCCCCTCCCGGGATGGACTACTATCTCATGTTTAGTTGACTGATTTGTATTGAGATTGTAGTCCATCCCGGGAGTGAGCTTGGAACGGTAACTACTTTACAACACACACAGGGACCACTTGAAGGACTTGTTTAGGGCCACTTGAAGGTGTTACAGATGAGGAGCTCACATATTCTGGTCAAAATCCAAATACCTCAAATATTTTTGGTAAATTGGCCTTTCTGGGAGTGTTTAAAAGGAAGCCTTTAATGTGCCCACCACCATCAGCTCCCTTACTTAAAGTGCCCATGAAGCCAGGAACAAGTATAGTTCTGGATAGATCAGGTGATCATTAAAATCCCAATCAGGTGTCCCCCTGGGGGGAGGTTTCCCTAAACTTCCTGTCCTAAAGACACAACAAAAAATAAAAAGGAAATCCCACCAATGAGGGACGCTTATCATAGGGTCAGGTGACCCCAATGGAAGACTTCTACTTGGAGACAACCAAAATTTGGATCCCCCCCCGTCTGACTCGGGGACAAAGGTCACCAGACAGCAATGAAAACCTGACAGGGGTTCTCATCCTTCGTCCTTCTCTGAAACTGAACAAAAAGAAAACAAGTTTTGACTTTTTGCAAAATT